GACAACAACTTGTCGGTGCGAAAGAAGTCTGAAGCTCGTACCTACAGTCGGTAACAATGAGGTGAGAGATGGGTCTAATCATCACCCACGCCGCGCGCCAAATTTTGACTGACTTGTGCTACCGCATAGCTGAAATCACATCGAAAATTTGGAACTCCGCCCTAATTGTTTACCACCGGACGTATTTCCGGCACCATCGGCCAAACCGGGGAGAAGGGTTCAAAAATCTATGGGTTTGCAACCTCATGAAATCTCCGCGATTTCTGAATTCCCAGTAAAAGTTATTCGCGCACGAGGTCGAAACAGGCCGAAACGGTCGGAACCATGGGTTATAACCATGAAATCGGCGAAATTTCATCCGGCCTAAATATTTGCCGCCGGGCAACGCTGAAAGGGTCAAACAGGAAGTGTTATAGCTCATGAAATCTCGGTTTTTGAATGTCGGCAAAGATATTTTGACACGGGGCGTCTCCAACAATCGCCACTAGATACTCTTGGTCAACAAATGGCTAATAGCTCATGAAACCGCGTCGGTTGCGACAATTTCGCGACACCCGACCAAACAGAAGAAAATTGCTTCAAAATGCCATGGGCCTACAAATGTCTTCATATTCCATCACAGCTCCATGGAAAATTGTTGTGCTTATAGAATTGGCACGATAGTTTTTTGCGCCTGGCATTTAAACCACCGGGTCTGTTAAGGTCGAAACGGACCGAAACTGACAAAGAGTATGTCATGAGAAACAATGGGCTTAACTAGCTCACAGACCGCACTTTTGTCGGAAGAGTACCGTGCTTGATACACACCTCGCATGGAAATATTGTGCACTTCCCGCCTATATTGTCTTCACCTGCGGGGGACACAACTGATAAATGAGCGATACACAACATTAGGTGAGCTAAAATTCTCGTGAGGGTTTTTTCCAAGCTCACGAAATTCGTGAAATTGACTCCGCCGAGTCATTTGCCATCGGACGAATCCGTCGAAGTTGGACAAAATCGTGAAACTTATTTTTTAGCAATAGCCTCACGAACTCGTGAATTTCGAACAATGCTTAGGCCGCGATGATGCTTTGGGTGAAACGATGCGCAGAGGTCGGTCGTAGGTCACGGTCAGCGCACGGTCGTTCCGGTCACGGTTCGCACGTCGGTCGGCACGGTGCCGCAGCGCCGTCGAGCACGGTCGTGCACGTGTCGGTCCCCGTTCGCTCGGTCGGGTTCGGCCGGTCGCACGGTCCGAGCGGCACGGTCGCAGAGGTCGACGCGGCACGGTCGACACGGTCGGTCGCACGGTCGGTCGGCTCGGTCGCATCGTGCCGGTCACGGTCGGTCCGCCGTCGAATCTTGGAAAATAGAGGGCCGATAATGGATCATGCAGAGGTTTCAAAGTATGACAAATTTGAACTCGGTATTCGGTACCATGGCCGTGGCGGTCGAGATTTCGAGGTAAAAACAAGGGCTTAAAACCATTTATTAATGTGCAAACGTGGAGCGTTTACCCGATCACCTCGGAGATAGGGAAATTTTCCGCACGGTTTCGGGCAAGGTCGGGTATCTGGGGCTAATCGGCCGGTCGGATGTTCATAAAATAAAAACAATGGTTAAATCTGAGAAAACCAAGCAAGGGTTCGCAGCGTTGCGTTTCGAAAGAAGAGGCAGATTCTATTTAGAAGGCATAAGTTAATCGTTGAGCCTAGACATGTTTCTAAAGCTACAACAGGATACGCATCAGGGTATCAGATCTTTGCAATCCGCTGCGGTCGCACGGCTCGAGCGCGGCACGGTCTGACCGCGTCGCTGTCGCATGGCCGACACGCGGTCCGTGCTCATAGTGTCGTTGTCGGCTCGTTAATCATACACTTTCTGTGTTTCTCGGTCTACACGGTCGGGTCGCACGGTCCGTCGCACGGTCCGTCCGGCACGGTCCCGTCGCCGCTCACGGTGGGCCAGACGGTCGGCTCGCCACGTCGCACGGTCGGTCGAGGCCGGTCAGGCAGCGCCAGCCGCCGGTCGGCCGCGGCACGGTCGGCCACGGTAAGTCGGCCACGGTCGGTCGGCAACGGTCGGTCGCACGCTCGGTCGCTCACGCTGCCGTCGCACGTCGGTCGACAGTCGTCGCACGGTCGGCCGCGGCACGGTCCGGCGCACGTCGAGCGGCCACGGTCGGCTGGTTCGTGCCACGGTCGTACGCCTCAAACAGTCACACGCGCTATTATCAAGCCCATTCGGCTCTGCACACGCGCCTACTTGAGAGCTTGCACATGCATCGGATATTGTGACGCGAGAGACTCACGTCTCGCGTCATAGCACAGAAGGCATAGCCCTTGTTGAGTTCAGTTTTCACGGTGCTCCTCGGTCGACCACAGATCAAAACCTGTTAGGTGGTCGCGGCCCACACAAAAGACTCAAGCAAAATCGCCTTACTTGTGTTCAGGTAATCAGATAGTATGTGACAGGCCCTCCTAAACAAAAAAATACGATCAGGCGCCCTCGTAAAACCCACGGCAGCGGGCACCGCAGGGAACCAGAGGCGTGCAGTCCAACAGCTGCAAGATTGAGATTCGGATTTTGGCTTGGCTTGGGCAAGTGCAGCAGCAGAGAAAGGGTTGTAGTCATTGGTCTCATCTAACTTTTACGTTGTGCCCCTGAATTAGAAGCAGAAAGCAGTCAACTATAAGTACGCGGCCTAAAGCTAGCGTAGGCATCTTATAGGTCGTGTACTTCGGAAAAAGATCTGGCAATGGGTCGACGCCGGGAAAGCCACACCAGGTCAGGATCTGTTGTGCATGAGCTTATAGCTGGAGTCGTTAAGGCAAACTCAACCTGCAAATATGATTCCACCAATGCGCCATTGAATCTAGCTTGCCTCTTCCAACTGGACCTGCATTTCCACAAAAAGGCGAAGTCGTCGGTTCTCCGTGGGGTTTATATATATCATTACACAACAGCATCCAGCCTTCCGAGAAGACATGACTAATCTAATTAGGACTAGGCGGGATGCACGGTAGGGTACACAAACAATTGTACCCAGAAGAAAAGCTACATCCTGGACCAGCTGTGTTTCCTGCCAATGCGCAGACATACGGTGGGACATGCTATAAACAATTGTTGCATCAGGCCGACTGTAGACAAACATTTAAAGAAAAATATCAGTGAAACATCGACATCTAGCAAGAAAAAGGAGAACGCAGAACATCAGAAAGGACTCGCAAAAACAAACAAAATGAGAAACCGAATCCAAGCCGTCTTTCAGCTGATTGGGGGCCTAAACAGCATTAAACAATGGAATAACGAAAATTCAAACTTGTCATAGATCATGTATCATATGAAAAGAGACTACAACATGATACTCGGATCATGACAAAAGCCAACCAACGGTAACCGTGAAAATGTTACACCATCCGGTGCCGACCAAATGTCCGGATTATTCACGAAGGGCTACGTGAAATGCACAAACGTCGACAAGGATGGGGAGATGTGGATAAACATAAAAGAAGCACTAAACACACTCGGGTCGCCCACGGTCGGCACGGTCGGCTCAAAATGGTGACAATTGAAATATTTTTAGGACTACGATCAGGGATGTGGAATTCATACTCAGATCAGGCAGCGCCACTTTCACAACTGGGATACTGGATAATTATTCTTTAGTTATTCATCGGAGTTATCAGAGGAAGTAGGAGAAGCAAACGCACTCTAATTTGAATCTAACATCCACAGGATCAATGGATGCCACGACAGGCCGGACTGGTCTTTCAAACAACATCAGTAGGCAGTGCAGTAATATAGGTAAATTGCTAAAAGTAGTCTCGAGATTGCAGACACTTGTTGTGACAATCAAATGTTCACCTCACTTGATGCATCATAAACTGCAAAGATGCACAAATCTTGAAGATCGAACAAATATATGAATGGGACAAACATAGGACCCAGCAGATTAGAATGCACAATTGCACAGACATGTTTAACTAAACCCGAGAATTTCTGAGGTGAATATCTCCATAAAATACGAAAGTTGAAAACTATCAAGCCCTTGGCGGCATATAAACAACGCAAAGAGCCTCATCCGTAGTTCCAAAACGATAACTATAGTAGCTCCCAGCATACAGCTAAATAAGGACATATAAGTTGTTAAAGTTAATCCGCGTCCCGATTGCAAGAGCGTTCGAGTCCGAATGAACACTGAGGTAGGGTCACACGGTCACTCTTATCAATGCATGGCTAGCTCAGACCAAAACTGCTCGTAAAGTTCTTGCTCTCGGAGCATCTTAACAGTCTGCTTGATATATTTCTGTGATTCATTACTCTAAGTACGCTAGTTTCAAGCTGAAGCTAGGAAAGGCTTCGTTCGCGCTACAGAATTCGAAAGATGGTGCTCACGGATGTCGGGGCTAACACTAAAGCCAGCAGGATCCGACATTTAACTATATCGTGAGACTATCTTTTCACAGCATCCAATGAGGTCACGAGGACATAACCATTTGACCATCAATCAGCTAGTCAAAGATAGGTATCTCGGATAAGCT